TTTTTTTTTTTTTTTTTTTTGTTTTTTCTTTTCTTTTCTTTTCTTTTCTTTTACTTTTGCTCAATAGACTCTCACTCGCACTTAAATATTAAAGGTTGGGCATGATAATACTCGCGGGTAGTATAATGCCCTAAGTCTTGCTGATCCAACGCATAGCTCTCCCGTAAGCAGCTGCTGTACTCCCAGACATCGGTGCACATTTCATTTTATACAATATACATATTTATATTTATATTTATATTTATATATATATATATTTATATATAAATATAATATACTTATATATAATATATATATATATATACTTATATATAATGTAATATATAATAGACAGTCCAACTCGGCGCTTCTTTTTCTTTTTTTTTCTTTCCTTTTCTTTTAACATCCGTCTCGACACTGCCACTTGTATATGTACACGCTAACAATAAATAGGAGGCGACAAGAAAAGAATTCTCCGCGGGAAGTACATTATGTTTACTAGCTAAAGAAAATGGAAAAAAGAAAGGGGGGGGGGGCAGAGTTGGTTAAGATGGAGAAGTGTTGTAGGAACATAAGGGTGAACAGTCGAGATTTTGATGGATTGGCATCAGGAAGTGGTCAGGAGGGAAGGAAAAAGGGAGCGTGAAGAATGTCTACGATAGATAAGAGATAGAAGGAAGAAAGCAAAAGGAACAAACATATCGGTCTAAATGCTAAGACGATCGCTTCATCTCTTCGTATTGCACTATTGCACTAAACGATAGCTTTGTAGAAGCAAAATTTTCGCGTAACGGGCGCGAGGAGACCGCGAAGAAGAAGCCAGAAAGAAGTGATTTTTTCCCCTATTCCCGTGGTAAGCAAAGCTACAGCAAGGAATGCGCGTTAGCCGAACACGATGTCGAATATTCTCTAACGTAATGTGATAATTTTTGCGAGGTTTCTTTTCTTTTTCTCTTCGTTCCTCTCTATCTCTCGCGGCTGCGACCTTATCGACCGTCCAATTGAACACAGAGACAAGTGTACGATGATGTCCGGGGAATACAGGAACCGTTACCCCCAGTTCCTTAACCGCAAATAATATACATTGTTTACCGTATGAAGTATCCCATCGTTAGTTAAGTCTTATAGTATGGACAAGTATCCTTAGGCTAGTAGGCCCAAGGTCTGTGTGTATAGTTTTCGTGTTGATTTTTTTTTTTCTTCTTCTTCTTCTTCTTCTTCTTTTCTTCCTTATACGTACGCTCGCGACCACGAGTTCGGCGAAATTCGTTTCGAGGTGTGAAAAAAGAAGGCAACAAGTGTCGTCGTGAGTTCGAGAAAGTTCCTCGCGGGAAGCTTCGATGGAACTGTTTGTTGTTTTGAGCAGAATGTTCGCGCGGTAGGCTCGATGAAGTGAAAGTAAAATTAGGGGGCGGGGGGTTGAAGATAAATGCAACACGACCGAAGACGTCCAGAGACACACGACTACGGAGCTTCGGAATCAAAGAAAAGGGGGGGGGGTGGGGAAATTTCGATTTCATCGTACTCGTGGTCGTGCGCGTACCGGTGATTAGCGCGTGTTTACGATAACTTCTATGGAGGCAAGATGAAACAATCACGTTGTGATAGAACGTGCGCTGATTAACCATTACATGCGTATACAAGGAGCATTATTCATTCACGTCCTTTTCTTCTCCCTCTCTTTTTTTTCTTTCTTTTTTTTCTCCAAG